CCCAAGTCCAATGCCATCCTCACCACCAGCCCAACAGCGCTACCACCGCTCCCCAGGACGTGCCAGGACACTAGGGCCCAGTCAGGGCAACCTGGGCAAGGCTGCCCTCCCTGGGGCAGAGAGTGTCTGGGGGGACAGTAGTACTGGGTCCAGACGTGGGGAAGAGCTGTCGCAGGGGACCGGGGAAGGGGCAGAGAAGGTGGGTGCAGACAGGGCTCAGGTGCATGTGAACATCCCACCAAGGGAAAGCACTTCTCCGCAGTGACCCTGAACAGCAGCCTCCCAGGGCCAGCAGGGTTTGAAGAACATGGTCAAGGTGCTGAGCGGCTGACCAAGGCCAGCCCATAGGGAGGAAGGTCTGGGGAAGGCGCTGCAGACCCTGGGGGACAAGACACCTGCCAGTCCTGTCCCTTAATGCTGGGCTTGAGAAAGGCAGAGGAGGATGATCAACGAAAGAGCATGGGATTTCCCAGAGCAGATGGGATGAGAAGCCAACTTTATTGTGCTAGGGGAAGGTGGCCAGCACCTAGGGCTGGTGCATGACTGGTCAGCAGCATCTTCCAGGCCGGCTGTACAGCTTTTGTGCCTGACGTTGTAACCGCCAGTGGTGTCGGATCTGCTCTGGTCCAGGGTGGCTGAAGCGGCTGCTGCTTTTGAGTGCCAGAGCATCACGGGACAGCCCCAATGCTGCCTCCCTGGTGGAGCTGGAGCTGCTCCTCTTGAGCACCAGAGCGTCAAGGAACAGTCCCAACGTCACATGCCAGGCAGTACTGGAGCTACTGGGCTCAGCACTTGGGGCTTGCTCATGGCTGCTCCCATGGTGTTTTCCAGGCCGGCTGTACGGCTTTTGTGCTCGCTGTTGTAACCGCCAGCAGTGTCGTATCCGGTCTGGTCCAGGTTGGCTGGAGCGGCTGCTGCTTTCAGGCCCCGAGGAGGGGTGGAATGGCCCCAGTGATACCTGAGCGATGGTGCTGGGCCTACTGCTCTCATACGCAAGGGAGCCATGGGGCGGCCCTGATGCCACCTGGCTGGTGGAGCTGGGGCTGGCAAGCTCTGAATTGTCACTGGAGGCTGTGAGGGGAGGCAGGAAGGTCAGCAGCATGGCCACCCAACCCCGGGGCAGGAAGGGCCATTGTGGTTCCCTGGAGCCAAGCCTACCTTGACCCCCTGCTACCAGGCCTAGCCTGGCCTCAGTCCAGGAGCACCCAGATGTTTTTGCCTCTTATCAGTGCCCAGGCCAGTGCAGCTGTCACACTCCCAGGTGGTTGCACAGCTCCTCAAGTACGAGCAGTGTCGGTGGGTGCCTTCAGCAGCACAGGAGCTGCACAGGAGCAGTTGCCAAGGCCTGTGGAAGAAAACAGTCTGCTGATTGTGAGGACAAAGTGATGCAGGCAAGACATTGCCCAGCAGAGCCCTTGTTCCTCTTGTGAGGAGATTGAGATCTTGTGCAGAGCCCTAGACTGCTGCTTTGGCACCTTACCCCTCTTCCTCTGCCTGCTCCCTGCCTCCCGGACAAAGGCATTTGCTGGCATTGCAGAGGCTGTGCCTTTGATATACCAGCTCAAATGCTTCATCGCTCTCCCATGATGGTTGTCTGCTGGAGAAGGAAACAAAAGTGTTGAGCCTCTGCTGCCCCAGTATCAGGCAGATCCAGGTCGTCCCTGCTCTTCACCCCCACCACAATTTCCAGCTCCTCCATGAAGCTGAGGATAAGAGTCAGGGGATAGCAGAAGGCCAGGGCAGTCCCTGGCCTGGCACCACGCTTGCGCCTGACGACTTGTGAGTTGGGAAGAAAAAAACAACCTCTTGGAGATTTGAATCCCCATGTTGAGCATTTCCTTCACAAACTGATCTTCATTTTGGCAATGCAGGCAGTGGAAGCTGGCACCAGCATGGATAGCCTTTTTCTGGATGCAGTTCTGGTGGAACCAGGCATGCTGGCATGCTGGGCACACCATGGTGCGGTAGGACTTTTTGTCTTCCACAAGGTCCAGGCAGATGATGCAGGTGCTGTTCTGCTCTGGGGTGGCTTGCACTGTCTGTTCTGGGCAGTGCTGCCAGCAGAAGGACCTAGGGGGTAGATAGAAGGGGTAGGTGAGGTGGGGTGAGGTGAGAAGTGCTGAGTCCTTTCCTGGTGATGGTGAGGAGGGTAGAGGAGCTATGAAGGAGCCCCAGACCTCTGGCTCTGGCTGTGGCAGGTTGCTGGGAAGTGTCCCTGTGGGTTCTTCACTTGCTGGCCAGAGGGGTTTGAAGATGAGGAGGCTCCTGCACGAGGGCTGGCAGCCGTTACCTGTACGGCTCAAAGAACTGGGTGACACATTCACCCTCTGAGGCACAGGGGAGATGGAAACTGTGGTTGCACCCTTTCTCCTGGCAGATGATGGCAGCACCCATCTTGCCACAAACGAAGCAGCACTGGAAAGAGCACAACACCCTCCCTCAGCAGCAGGCTGCATGGCTGGCCCCATGTCTTTCAGCGCAGGGTGCAGGTGGTGGGCACTACTGGCTCACACTCCACAGATCTGCCTGGCACATGAGGCTTTTGCCTGTGCCAGAGCCTCTGTGGAGCTAATGGGAGGAGGCATTTGTCCCAGAGCTGGTGGAAGGGCTGGGATGTCCTTCCTCGTGTCCAGGAGGAGCTCCCTGCAAGCCTCTCATGGTGCAAACCTCCCTGCTCTTGACAGGTCCTCACCTTCTGGGCTGCCACCTGGATTGTGCACCTGGTGTCCGCCACAGGAAAGCCCTTCCTGCTCCCTTGTGGAAGAAGATCTCTGGCAAAAAGTTGCAGAACACAAAAGGCCGGGAGCTCATTAGGTCAGCAAGGAAGGTGCCATCCCTCGCAGGAAGCTGGAGGGAGCCCCAGGAGAACTCACCAGGCAATATGTGTGGGCACAGAGCCCTTTTTTCACTCTTTTGCGCCCACAGATATCTGGGTCCACCTCTGCCTGGCCACACAGCATGCACGCTGGAGGGGAGAGAGCAAATGCTGCTGGGAACGAGCACCTCTGCGGGGCTAGGGGAAGTGTCCCTGCAGGACCAGCCCCAAGGCCTTCTGTCCCTGCCTTGCTGGCTGAAGGGCAGGGCTAGGGTCTTTGGAGAAGAAGGGGCAGAGCAGACACAGCAGGCCCAGCAGGTGCCCACAGCCCAGCTTAGGCCCCACTTGCTGAGGAGAGGAGGCGCTTTGCACTGGGGCAGTTCGGGAGCTCCTGCCTTCCCCTTGCATGGGTCTCGTCTGCAGGAAAGGCTGCCCCGACACCTGCTCTGCCAGCCATGGGGAGCTGTGGGGAGGGGCACTTTGTCTCACTTTGCTCCCTCGAGCCAAGGTCTGGCTGCTTCATTGCAAACATGGTGCACATCGACGGTGAGCGCTTGGAGAACCTCTGCCCCAGCAGTGCGGGTGTTATAAGTAATACAGACAAAGAGTCCG